CGGATGGTATTTGGAGGTTGGGCTTTTGGGGGTGAGCAGGAAGCTCTCAAAATGGGATTAGTACTCTATAACAGTGGCTGGTGTTGCTAAATGGTTAGAGCATCAGCCTGAGCACCAAAGGGTTGAGGGTTTGATTCCTGGTCAAGGGCACATACCTGGGTTGCAGGAACATCAATGTGTCTCTCTCACATTGATGTTTCTCTCTCTCTGCCCCCCTCCCTTCCACTCTCTAAAAAAAATCAATGAAAAAAATATCCTTGGGTGAGAATTTACAAAAAAAAAAGAGGAGGGGGTTCTCAGGGAGATCACTTGCCCCTTCTGCTATGTGAGGTTACAGTGAGAACAGATGTTCATAGGAAACGGGCAACTTGATCTTGGACTTCCCAGCTTCCAGAATTGTAATAAATAAATTCCTGTTGTTAATAAGCCAGCCAATTTATGGTAATTTGTTATAGCAGCCCAAACAGACTAAGATAATCATGTTATAGTGTGAAAGGAACTCATAATAGATAGGTAGGATTATTCTTTAAAATCCAATTTGATTCATCTTTTAAATGCAAGTGTGATTCCATTTGAAAATATTCTATTTTAACAACTTCCTTTCTATAAATTATTTAAAGACAAAGTCAAGCATTGCCACCTACAGGGAACCTTTAGAAAAACAACAGTCATGTTTTTATGACCCTTGTTTCTCAAATGAGTTTAATATTGTATTTGGCATCATATATCAAGGAAATTTTCAAGGAAAAGGGTAAGAAAAATTTGAAAGATATACTGTGTAAAAAATCCCATTACCAATCATTCTGGATTATTACTTCCTGAAATAATTAACAACAACCTAAGCACTCCCAAATTCACCAAACATATGATCTGTGGACCCTTCTTTGGTTATGAACTATAGCAGGTTAAGACTCAAAGCTATGCAGTCTCGAAGATCCTTAGTTGTAACTGGTATAGAAAGGAGACCCAAATCATTGGTGACTATACCTGTTAATGATTTTCTTTTTCCAGCTATTGAATTCCCCTTTCCACTTTAGTATCACCTTTACTTTCTTGGCCAGATTCTCTAAATTTTGAGCTATTTAGTCAGTTTCTAAAGCCCAGCCCTGTTTATTTAAAAATCTATTTCATAGGAGACTCCACATCAGATTCAAAGCTCTTTTCCTCTCTATGCAGCATAGGTCCACTCTAATCACGAATAGTTTGTTTTTGTATTTCTCCTCCCTTGGCTCTCTTCTTTTTGGGAAGCAGATGCTAGGTTTCCTTATAGCAGTAGCCCTCAATGTAGCCTATACACTAAAACCATCTGGAGCCCTTTAACAAAAACACCATGCCTCTGATATAATTGGACTCAGATGGGGCCTGGACATGGCTTTTAATTTTTGAGGTGATCCCATGTGTAGATTAGTTTGAGAAGCTGTCTTATTATGGAGGCTCCCTGATTGGCTATAACCGTGTTCTGGTAAGTGCCCCAGGGATTTCATGGTGCACAGTGCAACCCCCACTAGTGTGAACGGCCAGAGGCTCACTCCTGAGCAGCTCCACCCAGCACTGGCTGTCCTTTGAGATTTGAGAGTTGGCTATATTCAGCCAACTGGCATCACATCTCACTCACCTGTTGCACCTGCCTTTTAACCTCCTCTAATTGCTGCACAAGTTCTCTAGCCCCCAATTCACGTATCACTCTCAGGCTGGCAGGATCCATCTCTGATAACTCTGCCTGACAGTCCCATTACCTCTCCAATTCCATTCCTGGGCTCTGGATAAAACAACAAATGTGCAGATCTGCTGGGTAAACACATTCAACCAGGTGGAAAAAATGCTGGTCTGCCCTTCTTGGAGGCATCCCAAATCTTGAATTATTCTCTCAGGCCTTCCTCCCATGGTTTCTAGGTGCAGATGCACCATTTCCTCCCTCAGGACAGAGCCCAAAGGACTAAATCCCATTCCTCTACAATGCACTTCTCCAAAAGAACCCCAGGCTCCCTGGCCATGTGGGGGATGGTGGTTAGTGAGGGCATGTTATATGAACTGGCACCTCTCAGTAAGCCCTGCAGTGCTCACTGGTCCTAACCACGGGTAGTTCTCTGATCTTAGAACGTGGGGACCTGGTAACTTTTAACTTCCACTTTGGCCTTATTCCAGAATAGGGAAAAATCCCACTTGACTTTCTGTTACAAATTACTCTAATTCTACAGTTAGACACTTAGGTCAGTTCCCCAGAAACAGTGATGAACGTATGCAAACGACTTAAGATGTTAAGTCAAGGACTGGGAATAGGATGGGAAGGGGAGGAAGAACACACAAGTGTGATTTTGGCCAAGTTGAATAGAGGTCGACTTCATCCTGACTCCTCCAGGAAGTTCTGAAGTGTAAGGTACACTTGTCCTCCCGCGGCTGCCTCCACCGCGGTGGGAGGCGGACCCAGAAACCCACCCGCGCCTCCGGTCAAGTCCTCCAGAGTCAAGTCCCAGCCCACCCGTGTGTGCCTCGCCGGCACGGAGCCCTGCCCACCCCGTGCACGCAGCCTCCTGCTGATCATGCGTTTTGGTGTGTCAACCACAGGCTTTTTATATAATAGACTAGTAGCCCGGTGCACAAAATTTGTGCACTCGAGGGGGGGGGTCCCTCAGTTATTAAACATTTTACAGCACAACACTGACCACATTGGTGGAGGTGGTGGTCTTGTCAGAATGTGTTATATTATGCAGATGAAAATCTATTTAAACAGATTTGATGTAGATATTTTCAAAGATGGAAGAATTGTCCCTGTCAACTATTTTAGTTGATTCATATCTTCAGTAATTGTCATCATTGCAAAGTTTTCAGTCCCCATATGGATTGCTGGATATAATAGGTCATGCGCTGTCCCTGTCCTTTGTAGCCTTTGTTACCTTAAGGACTCTAGTTTTCCATTTATATGTTTAAGTACCAACCTTACCGGCTTAAAAATGTAAGCTTTTAACACTGCTCTCTCTGTTCCGTATCCTTCCGATGAAAAGTGGAGTTGGGTTGCAGCACAGGAGAGAAATTCAGAAGGGGAATATTGAAGTAATGACTACAGTAGGAGAAGAGGGAACCTGTTTCCCTGGCCACAGGCGTTGGCGCCGACATTTCTCTATCCTCTGTGAAAGTTTCTTTCCTTCTTCCCCATGCTCTGTGACTTTTCTTTATCCTCTGTGAATGTGTGCCTTCCTCTCCCCTTATCCTGTGGCACTTTTTTTTTTCTTCTGTGAATGTACTAGTATGCCTTCTGATGGCTCTAAGCCCTCACCTATGCATTTCTTCCCCATGGACCCTCTTTATTCCTAAGACTCCCTAAACCTTCCTATTTTGTCCCTAAAATTCCTTTCAATTATAAATTAACTAGTGGCCCAGTGCACGAAATTCATGCACGGGAGGAGGGTGTCCTTCAGCCCAGCCTTGATCCTCTTGTTGGAAGGTTAGAGGCTAGTAGAAATCTTCCTTGTGAATATCTCCATGGAGCTGAGGGCAGGTGTCTAAGGTGGTTGTGTCTCAGCTTTCCCATCATCACCAGGGCCCAGGCTTGGGGTCCTCATGTCTTCCTTACTCTCCTCACCTTTGGTGCTCTAACCTCTTGAGAGGTGGGTGGAGAGGGATAGGTCTGTGGAAGCCAAAACTCAGGCTAAGACATCTAGGGCTGGACACTGAATATCTCTTGGTTTCCTTGTTTGCTTTAAGCTCTTTGGAGAGAGCCTAGCCTACGTGTACTAAACCAAAGGGCTTTGGTCCCATCCCACAGAAGAAGCAGAGATCTGGAAGGTCCCAGGAGGGGGAGGTTCAGGGCTCCTGTGGCCTTGGCCACCCTGCTGGAGAAGCAGAGCAAAGCATGGGGTGTGGCATAGAGACACCCTTGGCAGGGCCCTGCGTGAGGCTGGCCGAGGCGTCCGGCCTGGGCAGCAGGGACCCGCAGCTGCAGCGGCCCCGCGATCGCAGGCTCCGCTTTAGGCCCAGGCAAGGGACCCCTAGATCCCGGGACTGCCAGCTTCGCCCGTGCCCAGCTCCCATCGCTGGCTCCACCCCTACTTTCCGCTATCACTGGCCAGGGCAGCAAAGGCGCCCGATTTTCCGATCATGGCTGGGGGGCAGGGCAAAGGCGGCCCCTCCCCCCTGGGTTTCCGATCACTGTCAGTGGCAGGGGGCTTCTTCCTGCTTTCCCTTTCGCCTCCCTGCATTGTGCCTACATATGCAAATTAACCGCCATCTTTGTTGGCAGTTAATTTGCATATCGCCCTGATTAGCCAATGAAAAGGGTAGTGGTCGTACGCTAATTACCATGTTTCTCTTTTATTAGATTAGATGTCGAGGGGCACTTTAGGCCAAAGACCCACAAGTAGACTGTATATCCTGAGTATAATGAAAAGGAGAGAAGGGTGACAAAGGATCTGAGGAATCCGGGTGCCCTATTACAGCTGGTCAATATCAAACTTAGTTTCACAAGTTCCATAATGTTATGGACAAGCTAGAAAGTGGTCATTGGTCCTCAGACTTCACTAATAACTGGTGCTCTCTGCAACATAACTGCTTAATAAAATACTAAGGGCAGGATGAACAAAGTATTCGAAAAAGAACAGTAAGACAAACAAGACTAAAGTAAGCCTGAAGGAAAAACTGTCCTGGTGATATTAATCCTTAATTTCTCTACAGAGGCTGCTTTTGTCTTCCTGGAAAGCAGTTATCTGCTTTAGATGATTATTTTCTTCAAAGCAATTTACGAAGCCTTAAAAAAAATCACAGCCCAGTAATAATTATTTATTTTATTTTTATTATTTTTTAAATTCTCAACTGAGGATATTTTTTCCATTGATTTCAAAGAGAGTGGAAGGGAGGTAGGAGGAGGAGAGAAAAACATCGACACGAGAGAGAGACACATTGATTGGTTGTCTCTTGGGGCTGGAGAAGTATGTGTCCTTGACTGGGAATTGAACCCACAACCCTTCAGTCTGCGGACCGACACTCAAACCACTGAACAAATCGGCCAGGGCAAGAACATTTATTTTAACACATAAAATGTGCCACCTAGCACCAATGCCTGTAAGTACCAGAATTCTATAGTTTATTATTACTCTTTAGAACAGTTGAGATTTAAGTTCTTGACAGATCAGTTTGTGAGCAGATGATTATCATAACATAAAGACTACACAGAATCAAAACCATTTGCTAAATGTATATAGAATTACATTTGCAGTTATTTAAAAATGTCTCTGTTTTGTAAACAAGTAAACATCAGTGATTTCTATCCACTTTTTCCTGGAAGATATATAGTATGAGAAAAGTGAACGAGCCTGAAAATGGGCTTTTTACTTTCACTCCAACCCCCCTCATTCTAATCTCATGATTTCTTAACTTTCATTCTTACTCACTACAGTATAATTTACTAACTCATGTAGACATGTATGGTGGAGGAAAAGAATAAAACTTTGGCCAATGTAACTATACAAAATATGTTGGGGCTTTTTTTAACATAAAAGAACATTTACTAGTAAGTAGTAAAGCTATCTTAAAAGCAACAAAGTGGAAGATACATGATAAAAACCACTGCATAATTATGTTAAAATGAAAACCTTTTAAATTTACCTATCTTGAAGACAAACTAAAACTTACTGATTTGAATTTAAACTTTATTATATAGCAGTATATATTTCTCTTTAGAAAATGGATCAATTTATCTAATTCCGGAAAATAAGCTAAGTCAACCATGAAGCTTCACTGTTTATTTTTGGCAGACTTTAGGCTAACCTCAATACCTATTTTTATTTGAGGAGTGACTAATACACAATGTTTCTTTTAAGCAGAACTTGATACTGAGCTAAAAGTAAACTAAGTTGGATTTCAGGCCCATTAGCTGGCAGACCGGCAGTCATTTTCTGTTTTGCAGGCAGCCCATGATGGTTGTTGTCTATTATCAGATCTCTAAAGACATGCTGGAAAAATCTGTGAACACAATCTTCCCATGCTCCATTCACATCTTTAGCTTACCCAGGTTGCTGGAGGCTTGGGTAAGATGACTAAAGATTTCACGATGGAAATTTCTATAAGAAAAAACAAAACAGAAACTTTACAAAATGAATTATTACAAATGAAGTACTTACTGGGTACTTAATACTAGGTAATATACCTAATAATGGCTAAATGCTATTCAAATGAACAACTATGGATAATGTTTAGAGATGATTCTTTGCTGATACCTAAAGCACAAGTAACCAAAGAAAAAAGATATATTCAACATCATCAAAATTAAAAACCTTTGTGCTTAAGGACATACTATCAAAAAATGAAAAGACAACTTAAAGAATGGGAGGAAGTATCTGGAAGTTATATATCCAGTAAGAGTCTAATATTTAGAATATATATATAAAAAACTTTTACAACTATAATTTCTTCATACCTACTAAAATGGCTATAATAAAAAAGATGGACAATGACAAGTATTGGTGAGGATGTGGAGAACTGGGACATAAACCATTGCCGGTAGAAACATAAACCATTTTAATAGCTTTGGAATAGTTTGGCAATTCCAAAAAGTTAAACAGAGTTCCCATAAGACCTGACAATTCTATTTGAGGAACATATCCAAGAGATTTGAAAACATATGTCATACAGAAATGTTTACATGCACATTCATAGCAACATTATTCATTGGAGCCAAAAAGTGAAAGATACTAAAAGGCCTTTTAACTGGTAACAGATGGATAAGGTATTGTATGTCCATACAAAGAAATATTATTCAACTATAAAAAGGGCGCTAAGTGCTGATGTGTGCTACAACATAGCTGAACCTTAAAAACACCATCCTGAGGGAAAGAAGTCAGACCCAGGAAGCCACATAGGGTGTGATTCCATTTACTAGTGTCCCCTGCACATTCCTATGAAACCTTTCATGAGCTGAAATGGCATAAAATGAAAAGTATCCCTGCTTTTGCATTATGCCACTTCATTTTTACGAAAGACTACATTAGTACCCATTTTCACTAAGCAAAAGAAATCCAAAGAGAATGTTCGCTTTTATAGAAGCCATTACCATACTAATGTAGGTCTTTTGTAAAAGCAAAATGGCATAAAGTGAACTTTCCGAAAGCAAGGGATACTGTATATGAAATGGTCAGAATATGCAAATCCACAGAGACAGAGAGTAGATTGGTAACCACAAATTAGGTGCTGGGGGTGGCAGAAACAGGAAGTGATCACTAACGAATACGGGGTTTCTTTTTGGGGTAATGAAAATGTTTAAAATTAGAAAGTGGTGTCCGGCTGGCATGGCTCAGTGGTTGAGCGTCGACCTGTGAATCAGGAGGTCATGGGTTTGATTCCCAGTTAGGGCATATGCCCCGGCTGTGTGGGCTTGGTCCCCAGTAGGGAGCATGCAGGAGGCAGCTGATCAATGATTCTCTCTCATCATTGATGTTTCTCTCTCTCCCTCTCCCTTCCTCTCTGAATTAATAAAAATATATTTAAAAAAATTAGAAAGTGGTGATGGTTGTGCAACTCAGTGAACATACTAAAAACCACTTTAAAAGGGTAATTTTTATGGTACATGAATTATATCAATTTTTAAAAAGGAAATTATTCTTTGCCAAAATAAAGCCTTTATATTTCAAAAACAAAATCATTATGCCTCAAAAAAAATTCTACTTTTAAAACTACACCACAACTTCAACTAAAATGGACTCTTCTTAAGGCATAAACCATTTTTTTTTTTACCTTTGTATCTCCAGCATCATGCCAGGTAAGTTTGTTGATTTGAATTACTAATCCCACCAATCCTCTTACCTTATAGTCCTAACATCTAATATTGATCTCAAAAATTATAAGTTATTTGCTTTTGACTAGAATTTACATAATCAGAAAACTTCATCATGAACAAATTCAAAGCAAAGATAACAGAAAAAATGTTATTAAATTTAACATCCTTAATCAATAAAATTAATCATGTCCCTGCCTTATACCAACCAGTCACATACAAAACGTGCTGGGATAAAAATGGACACAATTCTTCCTTTCTACAGACTCAAACTCTAGACATTGCTGAGGCAACCTGCATAAAATGTAATTGTTATAAGAAGTAAAGGAAGCAGCAAAAGGGGAATATACATAAAACAGTGCATTTCTCATTATCGGACAGATCTGTCTTGTTATATTTTACTTTAAAATTTTTTTTCTTTATTAAAGTGTAGATGACATAAGAATTATATATATACATATATACATATATATATATAAATTATATTTCTTTATTGATTTCACAGAGAAAGGGAGAAGGAGAGAGAGAGAGAAACATCAATGATGAGAGAGAACCATCGACCGGCTGCCTCCTACACCCGCCCCCAATGGGGATTGAGCCCGCAACCCAGGCATGTGCCCTTGGCCGGAATCAAACCTGGGACCCTTCAGTCCGCAGGTCGACGCTTTATCCAGAGCCAAGCCGGCTAGGGCCATAAGTATTATATTAGTTTCAGGTGTACAACATAGTGATTCGACATATAACTTTCCTGACCAGGAATTAAACCTGAGCTGCAGTGGTGACAGTACCAAATCCTAGCTACTAAACCACCAGGGAAGGGTTGTTATGTTTTACTTTGACTATTAAAAAATTCTGCATGGTTGGATAAAGTTTACAAAGGTCAGAGCTGGCTGGCATTTTAAAATCTCTAATAAAAGATACCAGAAACTTATAAATAGCTAAGTTACCTATCTGAGGTAATGCCCGATTTTAAAGCTATATAATTTACAGCTGGACAGGAAGAAGAAGCCTGCCTTATTTTAGAGGAAGAACAGGAGGCCAGGTAAAGTGATCTTAATATTGAGTTAGTGCCTGAGTCCAGTAAATCATCATATTATTTCCCCACATCAAAATCAACATCTACACCACCTATAAGCTGAGAGACAGCGTCCAGCTAAACAAACCTCCTCAGAGGATAAAGAGCCAGGAATGTATTTACCGATTTTTTCTTTCTGAAGTATAAAATATGAATATCTTCACTTCGATATTCTTCATCATGTTTTTCCAAGGGAATTTTTTCAAAGTCAAAGTCTAGTTGAAGAAGCTATAAATTTAAAAGAGATATACTTCAAATTCAATAATATGAACTGCCCTGTGGTGAGAGAAGTCAGAATGGTGGAGTACTGACTGGGAAGGGGCACATGGGAGCCTTTTGAGGCTGTGAAAATGTTCCAAGTCCTTATCCTGGGCAGTGGTTACTTGGGTGTATGCACATGAAAAATTGAGTTGAGCACTTGAGCTGAACCTTAAAAACACTATCCTCAGTGACAGAAGCCAGACCCAGAAAGCCACATGGTGTAATTCCATTTACAAAAGCATTTTACATATTTTATGTATCTTACATATTTTAACTCAATTGGAACTGTTTAACAATACAAAACTTTCAATGATAAAGTTTCAAGAGTTCATTAACATTCCTCACATTTAAGAAAAAAACAGCCCAGCCAGGCAGTGGCTCAGTGGTTGAATGTCGACCTATGAACCAGGAGGTCAGGGTTCAATTCCCCGTCAGGATGATTCTCTCTCAACATTGATGTTTCTATCTATCTCTCCCTCTCTCTTTCTCTCTGAAATAAAAAAACAAACAAAAAAAACCCCCACAAAAACAAAACAAAAACAAAAACTTAAAAAAAACCCCCACAAAAAAATAAAAACATTTCAACATATATCTGAAGCAGAGTCATATATTTGCTTTCTCATTTAATCAAAGTAGTCCTTTCAATGGATAAAACTACAGGGCTATATATACAGGGGTGGGCAAAAGTAGGGTTACAACTGTGATTATGCAAAACAGTTTATTCTTTTTTTATAGATTTTTAAAAAATTGATTTTCAGAGAGAGATGGAGGGAGAGGGAGAGAAACATCGTTCAGCTGCCTCCTATATACCGCCTACCAGGGATAGAACCGGAAACCCAGTCTGTGTCCTGACTGGGAATTGAACCAGCAATCTTCCAGTGCACGGGACACCGCCTAACCACCTGAGCCACACCAGCCAGGGCCAGAGTTTATTCTTCTATTATTATTTATTCATTATTGTATTATTTTCCATATGAACAACTATAAACCCACTTTTGTCCACCCCGGTATGAACCAAGAGAAGTCACTTGTAATGTGATGGATTTTTGCCCATAAAAAGGGATTGGGCCCGGCTGAGTGGCTCAATTGGTTGGAGCGTTGTCCTATACACCAAAAAGGCTGAAGGTTTGATTCCTGGTCAGGGCACATACCTAAGTTGTGGGTTTGATTCACGGTCAGGGCATGTATGGGAGGTAACCAACCAATGTTTCTCTCTCATGGATGTTTCCCTCCCACACCCTCTAAATTCAATGAACATATCCGTGGATGAGGATTAAGAAGTAAATAATTAAATAAATAAATGGGTGAGACACATCGATTGGCTGTCTCCTGCACCTGCCCTGACCAGGTTGGGCATCTGAGCCTGCAGCTGAGATATGCGCCCTTGACTGGAATTGAACCTGCAACTCTTCAGTTCACAGGCCGATGCTCTAACCACTGAGCAAATTGGCCAGAGTTGTGAGTTTTTGTTAAAAAAAAAAAACGAAACAAAATCAAACCCTGAAAACATAAGATTATCTTGGTTAAAGCTTTCACAAAAATGTAGAGGTGAACACAGAAGTAAAAACATATGTTTCCATTATGTATTTATGTATATATATATATATATATATATATACATATACGTTCCCCAAAAGCCAGCATGTTTAATAAGGGAAACATTACAAACTTTCTCAGAAAAGACAAGGGCATCACTACTATTATTTTACATTGTTCTTTATATATTAGATCAACTAATTAGAAAATAAAAAGAAATAAAGGATCAAAAGATGAAAAAGGGGGAGGGGGCTTAGTAGAATGATGGGCTGTCAAGAATCCTCCTTGGGTTCATACAACCAGAATGTTTTCCTGACTCAAAATTACCATAATATACTTACACACAGTCATACACAGGCTCCCTGAAGGGTAATCACTACAAAGATAGATATAGTAGAGGACCCACCTCAAAATATTTTTTCTCGATTTCTGGATTTTTCCCCATTGTTCGCTGTTCATAACAACATATAATACAAGTCTCAGATCCACTGAGATCTTTTAGAGTTTTCAACAGCGGCTCCAAAGACTGTTCAAATAAGAATAAAGTTTTTGTTTATAAAAATTTTTATATTTTTACTGTGAAAGGGGGGTAAGGAAGGTGGAGGGGTAATTATCTCTCCCCTACAATTTACCCATCTTTGAATCAATCCAACAAAGTACAAGTAGTTAAGACTCTAACTAATGATTAGTAAACTCTCTTTTTTTTTTCAGTAAACTCCTCTTAACCACTGTATTGACTTTAGTTTCCAAAGGAAGGATTCAAGTAATTGCATTTTCAAGATCCCATGGGAAAACAAATGGAACTGACTTCTCTTAAAAATTTAATTATTTAACTTGGGATTTAAATAATCAACAATTTACCACAAAAGCAACTCTGACCTAACCTGAACGTAAGTTGGCTAAATGTTCATTATTTTAAAAAAATGTCTATAATTTGCACACAAATTGATAATTTTTAGAAATCATTCTATGAGTCTAATAAATCTTGCCACAGAACAATGAATTCCTTACAATGCAATTTAATTCTGTGTCTTGCTTAACATGTTCACTAGGAACAGCTAAATAAAAAAAAAATAAATAAAGAATCTTAGATCCAAATGGCAAAATCCTTTTAAAACTTTACAGAAGCCTCTAGTAAAATGTGCATAACACTTTTCTCAACATGATTCACAGGTCCATATGATAATCACGCCTATATGATAATCAGTATTCCCTGGTGACCTTAATTTCCCTTTACTGTGTCATTAACTATAGGACAAATATCCTGAATTCCATATCCTAAAATGTGAAGAGATGTGTGCTCTAGAATTTAGGAAATATGGTACATCTTCTAAACAGACTTCTCTCATTGAATATTTACCTCTTCGTAGTATATGCAGTCGGCCATCAGTATGTAGTCTGGCGGAGAAGGAAAGTCTTCTATTTCTTCCCCCCTTAAAAATGCCAACCAAATATTTTAACTGTTGCTTTAATAATTAAAAATATTCTTGTTTGAAAAACAAGACCCGGAAGATCCCCTTTCTATTAGCCATGCTTTTAGCAAAACGCAATTTAAAGCAAACTACAAATCGTTATTAAAACAAGCCGAAAGGCCATACAAACCATTTCAGTACCTTGGCTTGAACAGAACCAGTGACAAGATGCTTGTTCATGTTAATATTCATCTTCAGCAAGTCTTGCAATTCCTCAAGATCGGTGACTACAACATCTGCCCTATAAAATAACGTCGACTGAGACGTAGGCACACGGATGCTAAGCCAGTAATCAGTTTCCCAAGTCAAGCGGCGCCCCTCCCGCCAGCCCTTACCCGAGGGTTGCGGCCATGAGCCCCACGGCCC